TTTTTTTTTTAATCCTTGCCTATATAGGCGCCTTTTTCTTCAAATTGTCTTGCCTTTAAATCCGAGCTTTACTTATGTTTAACTAAAATTTTAGATGATTAATATAAGATATTTATAAGAAAGATAGAACTGAACATTTTTAAGTTTACAAATGCAACATTGTCGGTGACTTTTAGCAATAATTTGTATTTTGGAAACAGGCCATACAAGTGCTATCAGTCTATGCATAAATTGATAACCTAGATCATGATACCATGGTATTCCTAGCCCTGCTTATCGTCTTTATCTGTAGCTGTGTTTCGTGAGACGTGATCTTAAATTTTCTATTCATGTTTAATTTCTTTTCGTTAATTTAAGATCTTCTTGCCAAATGTATTCTTCTAAGAATGAGAATTTTCAGATCCGCGCATTGATTTTTTTAATTTACTAGTTATAGTGTTGTAGACTTCAGTATACAAGTAGGATTTTTCTGGGCTTGTGGATTTTGTTAAATGTTAGCCGCTTTTGGCATAGAAATAACAAATATCTCAAATACTTTTAGAAACATGAACAAATTTTACATAAAAATTAACATTTATTTGAAAAAAGCGCCAAATTATAATGTTTCCGTTATGTTCTAGATGTACCAAATTGTAATTGTAAATGTTGAGGAATATTTAGACAGAATACTGATTCTGTCTTAATTCGTCAGCTGCAAAAATCTTTGCTTCGCATTTGTTAACGCACTACAATTTTGCATTGTTTTTGAACAATTATGAACCCAGTTGAGATGTTTTGTTCCATTGCTCATCAGCTTTAAACTTAAAATAAATTAAGATGACAAATTTTCATTTGTTGAATTCCCATCGGATAATATTTAAAATTATTTCAGATTTCTGGAATTATAATTTTGGCTATTGGTATATGGATGGACGCGTCACTTCACCAATACATTTTAAGGGATCCTGAATTTAAGAATAATGCCTCGAATCTTCTAATATGGACCGGGTCCTTAATTCTGGTGATTAGTTCATTGGGGTGTTGTTCTACTGTGAAACGACAACCAGTACTGCTATATGTGGTAAGTGTTATATCTTATTTATTCCCATTTATCCTTGAAATAAAAAATGCTACAAAAAACGGCACTTTCCAGAATAACAACCTTTTACTTTAAGAACATTAGGATTCCCAACCAAGACAAATAAAAGTTGTTTTAGCAATTTACTTTTACGAAAGAAAACTTAAATTAAGAATGCGGAGAACAAGGAACTAGTCGGATCCATCTATATGAAATACAATCGCGATACTTGCCGTGAGAGCTGCGTGATAATTGAGGATGAAGATTAAGGAACTGTTCTTCATTATAATGGGTCGTCCATGCGAGAATGATTGCATGGAACGAACCTATTAAACCATGCAAAAATATACAGAATAATTGCTGCACACATTCATGTGCCTATCATAAATCTGATCTATTACCCGGTTCGAATAAAATCTTTATTAATGAAAAACTGTGCGTATTATAACCAGATAAGGAGTTGTACCGACTTGCAGTAAGGAAAAACTAAATCTTATGCTTACTTGGAAAAGTATTTCCAGTTAATTAAGATAAATCTATTCCTATATTACAAAGTAAAATTTAGTAATGATAGGAAAATATTAATTTAAAAAAGTTTTTTGAGTTACATTACTATACAGGGTGTCCGAAAAAAGGTACGGCCAACACTTAACGATACAAATTAGCAACAAAAATAAGTATGCCAAGTTCCTATAACACTTTTGCGAAAACTCGATAATAACGGATATACAGGGCGTTAAAAGGAAATTAAAAAAAATATTTTTTGGATATAACTTTCTTGCAAAATTATTACTTATGTTATTCTGTATTATTGTTCAGAAGTTGAGATTTATCCGTTAATACTAAATGGCTGAACTCACTCATGTCATCTTAATAACGTATATTTTTTTTACATTTTATTTTTTTGATTTCAAAAAATTAAAGATCGTTCAGAATTACGTAAAAAAGTTTACCTGTCACATCTTTCTAAAATGAGCCGTTCTCGAAAAAATCTACTTTTAAAATTATCTTGCCCGACATAATTAACAACGCAGGTCAAAATTATTTTCACCGTTTTAACAGAGCGTGCCACGGTAACAAGTGTACTTAGAATTAATTATTATTCATTCAATATTTAATAGGTATTATTCGATTTTGTAATACAGTTTTTAAATGTGTATAGCAACTTTTCAAAGTGTTGTCCATTCACCTCAATGGACAAATTAAATCTTCTCAAAAAATTGTGACCTGACCTTGTGACAATCCTCTAAAATATTTCATCCTTTTGTTTAATTTCGTCACACTTGTAAATAATTTTCTGCCTTAATTCGGGAGGGTTGCGTGCTGGAGTGTGATATACTAACGATTTTAGATTCCCCAGCGGAAATTCCAAAAGAAAAAATCATGGGATTCAAGTTAGGAGATCTGGGAGCCCACTCTACAAACCGACCGCATCCTATCCATCTTTGAAGATATATTTCATTCAAGAATCCCCTAACAGCTACGCCATAATGTGGAAGAGCTCCATCTTGTTATTACAAGACGTGGTTATTACCACATTGAGTTTCTAACTTGAAGGGGCAATCAAAAGAGATAGACTTTCGAGGCCATTCCTTGAAACTAATGGGTTTTTCGAATTTGTAGGCCGTCGTTCGATAGAATTTCTTCTTGACATTTCGCAAGCACGACTGGCTTGCATTTTCAGAAGTGGTTTGCTTGAACACTTACACTGTTCTGATGACTTCCTTGATAGACCATGAATAGCAAGACGTTTTAAAAACGGATATATACCTCTCTACTTTTAAAAAATAGGTTAACATTTTTTAGAGTATTTGTTTTATTTTACCAAGTAAAGTTAAAAGTGCGACGTCAATAGTACACCACTGTAGAATTAGGTATACTTCTTGGACTTTGAATGAAATAACCATCCTATCAACTAAGTGAAACTCAAATATTTAGTTCATTCATGCAACCCGGTATATTGAATTATTATTATTTAAGTCCATTGTGAAGTTTTAGCTGCAACACAAACCCTAGATTTTGAAAATTGGTTTAAGACGAAAAAAATATGACCACTCTGAAAATAAACGAGGCGAGCGAAAAATTCAAAAACGATTTTGGAGATGTGAAGTACATCTTAATCTTGTGGTGTTAAGTGCACAAAATCGTTCTTTGTCCAACTCGTAACAGTACAACTTTATAAGAACATAGAGCTAATCACTATCATATTTGGCTGCAATACTATACAATTTACCTTTGAACTTACTTCTGCTTTTAGTACGCAGCCGTTTTAGCCATCGTTTTTGTTCTGGAACTGGGTGCTTGCATATCCATATTCGCATACCGTTCGAAGTTCATTGGAAGCGTCGACGAAGGACTTACTCGTGGTGCCATGTATTATTATAACGACCCCCAAGTCTCTTCTGAATGGGATCTAATTCAGGAAAGGGTAAGACGGATATATACAGGGTCTTCCGTAAATATGTTAACATATTTTAATAGCGTGTTCTTCTAGTCATTTTAGCGGGGGGTCTTCCGAGAATTTTTTTAATTTGAGGTCTTATTGTTGATATATTTGATTTCCAAAATGGAGGAAAATATTAGGTTTTGTTGTTTTTTCTTAAACCGGTTAAGCATAGAAACTTCAATTTTGGTATACATTATAAGATAATTGAGTGGCATTTTATGGTAATGTTTTGTGGTTCAGTTTACTTTCATACAGGGTAGAAATGTGTAACCCCTCCTTTTGTTTTGATCAGAACTTTTTCCTATGCACCTAAACTTTTATCAACATAATTTTTTTAATGACAACAAGTTATTGGGTCTGAGAAAGTTGGTAAATAACTTTGAGTAATTAAAAAAAATATGTTGATAAAAGTTACAGATCACACAAAAAAGTTCCCAACAAAACAAAAGTAGGGGTTCCCCCTACATATA